GTCCCCTCCGTGTCCCCCCATCCCTTGTGTCCGCTGTTCCCAATGTCCCCGTGTCCCCCGTGCCCCGTGTCGCTGTCCCCCGTGTCCCCAATGTCCCCCCAATGTCCCCCATGTCCCAAATATCCCCGTGTCCCCCTGTGCCCCCTGTCCCCAATGTCCCCCCAATGTCCCCCCAATGTCCCCATGTCCCCCTGTCCCGTGTCGCTGTCCCCGTGTCCCCGCAGTGGGAGGAGCTGAGCGCGCTGGACGCGGAGCTGGGCGGGGCCGTTCGCACCTTCGAGGTGTGCTCGGGGCGGGGGCGGGGCGGGGCCGGCCGGGACCCCGCCCACAACAGCTGGAGCCCCGCCCACAACAGCTGGAGCCCCGCCCAGAACAGCTGGCTCCGGTCCCGCTGGGTGCCCCGCGGCGCCGCCACCACCGTGCTGGCCGAGATCCGCTTCACCGTGATGGCGTGCGACAGCCTGGCGGGGACACGGGGGACACGGGGGACACGGGGGACACGGGGGACACCGGACAGTGACAGTGACAGCTCGGTGGGGACACGGGGGACACCGGACAGGGACAGGGACAGGGACAGCCCGGCGGGGGGGCCAAACACACCCGGACCCGGACCCGCCCCCGGGCACCCCCCTGGCAACGGGGATGCCCTTGACAACCCCGATTTCCATGGCAACGACCCTGACAACCACCCGGATCTCCATGGCAATGGCTTCCCCAGCGTTTATCTCCACGGCAACCACCCCAAACCCCTCGATCTCCATGGAAACGGCCCCGAAAAACCCGATCTCCACGGAAATCACCCCAAACCCCTCGATCTCCACGGAAACCACCCCAAACCCCTCGATCCCTACGGAGACGACCCCAAAGACCCCGATCTCCACGGAAATCCCCCCAAACCCCTCGCTGTCCGCTCCGAGCGCCCCGATTCCTCCGCCGGGCCGCCCGTTCCGCGCCCGTTCCCCGCCCGGCGCCGCCGCAGCCCCGCCGGGCCCCCGCGGCCCTGCAAGGAAACCTTCTCGGTCTTCTACCACGAGTCGGACGCGGACACGGCCACGGCCACCTCGCCGCCCTGGATGGAGAACCCCTACGTGAAGGTGGACACGGTGGCCGCCGAGCACCTGTCGCGGCCCGGGGGCGGCCCGGGGGCCCGCGTCAACCGCAAGGTGCTGCGGCTGGGCCCGCTGAGCCGCGCCGGCTTCTACCTGGCCTTCCAGGACCTGGGAGCCTGCATGGCGCTGCTCTCCGTGCGCCTCTTCTTCCGCCGCTGCCCCGCCGCCACCGCGCGCCTCGCCCGCTTCCCGGCCACCGTGCCCGCCGAGCTGGTGGCCCCGGTGGCCGGGGCGTGCGTGGCCGGGGCGGTGCCGGCGGCGCAGGGGGTGCCGCTGATGTACTGCCGGGAGGACGGGCGCTGGGCCGAACCGCCCGCGCTGGGCTGCGTGTGCGGGGCCGGGATGGAGCCCAGCGAGGGCACGGGCTGCCGGCGTGAGTTTGGGGCGATTTTGGGTGGTTTTGGGTGTTTTGGGTGTGGGACGGGCTCTGTGCGGGGCCGGGATGGAGCGCAGCGAGGGCACGGGCTGCCGCCGTGAGTTTTGGGGTGATTTGGGGTGTTTTGGGGTTGGTTTTGGGGTTGGTTTTGGGTGGCTTTGGGTGTGGGACGGGCGCTGTGTGGCGCTGGAATGGAGCGCAGCGAGGGCACGGGCTGCCGCCGTGAGTTTGGGGCGATTTTGGGTGGTTTTGGGTGTTTTGGGTGTGAGACAGGCGCTGTGTGGCGCTGGAATGGAGCGCAGCGAGGGCACGGGCTGCCGCCGTGAGTTTTGGGGTGATTTGGGGTGTTTTGGGGTTGCTTTTGGGTGGTTTTGGGTGTGAGACAGGCGCTGTGTGGCGCTGGCATGGAGCGCAGCGAGGGCACGGGCTGCCGCCGTGAGTTTGAGGTTGGTTTTGGAGAGTTTTGGTTGTGTTTGAGCTTTTTTGGGGCTGCTTTGGGGAGTTTTCAGGGTGTTTTAGGGTTGTTCGAGTGGTTTCTGGTGTCGGCGTGAGTGGGACTGGAGTTTTTGGGGGTTTTTCTGAGGTCCTGAGAGGGTCTGGGGGGGCTCCAAAAGAGTCGGGGGTGTCCCGGTGGGAGGTCTCCGGGGGATTTTTGGGGTGCTTTAGGGTTTTTTAACCCCTGTCCCCAGCCTGTCCCCCCGAGACGTTCAAGGCGGAGGCGGGGGGGGGGGGGGGGCCGCCC